ACGATTGCACAGTGATTTTATTGCAAAATCTGAGTGTTAATGAGAAGCGGTGTATGGATCATTTGAAGAGATTATCGAAAATCGTAAATGGCGATAATTCGATAGCACCTTTCACGCTGACTTCATTCATTGAGCAGAGGTTATTGATTCGATTTATATAGATTGTTCGATAAATATGGGATTTTTTACGGTTCGGTTGATATAAGGCGAAGGTTTTCGTAATAATGAAATTCCATCTGAGTGGATTTGAGGGTGTTGGGAGAGAACTGGAAGGGGTTTGCTACCAATATATTCGAAGTTCAGTTTCTAATCAGTACCATTTCATTCAGATATTTGGGTGTTTTGTTACGTTTCCGTCCGACGTTCAGCGATGATCGCTTCTATTCGAAACGTAGCACAATAGCGTTGAGTCTTTGTCATATGATGCAAATTATTCACGATGAAGGAACGAATTTCTTAGATACGGTTTGTTTTTTTGTTCGTTTGATCAGATTTGAAGTGTTTCTTCAAAATATGTTTTGAAAATCGATTGAACTTCGGGATGTCTGATTTACTTATCGATAAGTGATTTTTAACTTAGTGATTTTATCGAATTGCTAAGAGAATCACTGAGTGAAGACAATTGCAGTAAACATGTTATCAAGTTTCAAATTCTAATGGATTTATTTTTTGGTTTGTTGCAGACAGCGACAAAGATGTTAGCCGTTTTACGAGTGCTCACACCATTGGGACACCTATCAATTGCACCGTGGCGAACGTTTATCGAAACCCTGTCTGATGAGGTGAAAGGGGCAATTATTATAATCAGCGCTTTTCGTCGTTTTATTAGTTATTGAGCAAATAGATGCTAAAAATTGATTTGATGTGTTCAAAATGGTCGACTTCTACTCAGCTCGAAACAAAACATTTTTTGAAAAAAATCGAGCGATTTTATAGAACAGGAAAGTAGATTAGGGCAATCTTCGGGATTTCTGTGTGAGCGGGTAGTCCTCACACTATCCTTTATATTAGAGTGAACTTCAGGATGTCAGATTTAGACTTGGGTTGAATTGTACAATACACTCGTCAGTGTCTCTTCATAGATTTTTTGATGTTTCAAAATATTGCGGATGATTAGTTAACGTATTGATAAGTGTTACGATTGCAGACTTTATTAGCTCTGCTGCCGCAGATTCTCGTTTCCGTAGCGCCTCTGTTGAAATTCACTGAAGCTCGTGCAATATTGGTTTTTATATTCACAACGAAACGACTTCAGCTGTCGT